AAGCTGTGCCTTGGGTGAAGCTGTGTTAAAAATGTTGAAGGCTTTCTTACTTCAACTTAAAGCCTGATTTGGCAGCCAATATTTTGAAGAAGGGCGGTATGTAAGGAACCACTCACCAAATAAATCCGTGCACGTGTTTTTCAAGCATTGCAGAAACCGACCCCTAAATTTAGACGTCTGTTCCAGCCATCGCTTTTCGGTGCTACCATTAGATCGTGTTTTTTCTGGTGTCCTGGGCTGCATGAAGATTTAGATTATGGCTCAGTATGTTGTACAGTCCCCCCCTGCCCCAAAATGTTTAATTCAGGAACCAGGTTATGCATGTTATGTGAACCCAGCTAATTGTGCAAGAACAGTCCTTTCTCCCCTTGCAAATTTCCCATTTCTTTTTTTTGAAAAAGAGGTTGAAAGCAAATGTTCATTGAATGAGTGTAGAAAAGTCAAGAGAAATTTTGGCCAACCGCTAAGGGGGGGTTATCTTAAGTGGTGGGTGGAGCCTAAAACATGTGGGTGGGGCCACTTATTCCCCTCCTTTTTCATATGGCTTTCGTAGTTTTCTGGATTTTTTCTTTTTGCTTCTGACCTCCAGTTGACTCCCTTCTCTGAGAACGATCCAGTGCTGTTGGAAAAGATGCAGGGATTTGAAATTAGGCCAAAGGCTATATTTGACCTAAGTTGCCTTCCCCATCATGATCTATTATAACCCAAGGTTGATGACAAATTTAATTTTTATTGAACTTCCTCCAGTTTTCTGAAGTTGGTAGTTATTTTGGCAGCAGGGGAAGCTGGCTTCAACAGCGAAGTTGCAAATGCAACATGCCCGCGTGTGACCCGGTTTATGACATTTTTCCATCCTAAAGAGTGTATCAACAGAAATCCAGGGCTGCACTATTGGGAAGAAAAAGAAATTTATTTGCGTTTTTTAAAATCAATAAATAATTTACAATATGTACATCAACACCCCATACAATTTCCACACACATAAAATAAGCTGGAAAGGGAGGCAGTGAGTTTGTCATACGCTTTCCCCATCTTTGTTCAGGTTTTTTTTTTAACCCATTGGGTCTTCGTAGGCTGACTTCACTCAGAAGCCAAAATTTGGCTGAACATAATAAAAATAAAGTGCTTTATTAATAATTAGAGGTTTAAGAAATATCCCAACACCTGGGAAATGGTTTTGGAGCTTACCAGAGTTAAGAGAAATAAGCTGAAGGATGGGAGGAGGAGGACAATTGGTTAAGAAAAATCTTCTTTTGCCAATTTGAAAGGTTTTACTGTGTTCAAGGAAGAGTTTTTGATTTATGAAATGCTAAAAAAATCAGCATTTTGATAATTAAGCCAGTGGATCTGGATTAAAATCCCCCTCCCCTTGTATTGACATCATTGGTTGGGGATTATAGGAGTTGTAGTTAGCATGGCTAGAAATATCCAGGTTGGAGGAAGACTGTGAGATAAACCATTTTTGAGAAAAATGTCATGTGAGGGGCAAGTTCTCACCTTCGTTCCAAATAGGGTGGTAAATCTCAGCTTTCCATTGCTGACTGTTTTAATTCAGCCAAAGATTTCTATATATATATGGTTTGTCCATTTCCTTAAACTCTACATGGGCAAAACATAAAAAGTCACACTGTATTTCTTCACATCTTTTGCCACAGCTTTGATGAAGCCACAGGAGATAATGATGGAAATTTGGAGAAGAGTCTTGAAAAAGCTTGGTGACTGTTGTGGTAATGACCAAGTTATGATTGTACTTCAGAATGGAATGGAAATGGGTGCCATTGGTTGATCCAAGCATGCATGAATTATGAAGGCAAGCTGATTTTCACTCTTCACAGTCATTCATCTCTGCGATCTACCTACTATCTTGGATTATTCATGTTTCTCAGGCCAGACTTGCCTGAAAATCTATCTAAATAGGGTCAATGGCAGTAGATGTTGGCAACCAGGCATTGTGTGGGCAAAATGGGGGCCCCAGTATTCAGAGCTCTGTAATTAAATAAAGATCATGGCAGCCAACCTAGGACATCAGTTGGACTAGTACCAAGTCGGATTTCCTATCTTTGTTCTCCAAATGTGTTGGGATGTCCAACCCATGGTCAGAAAGACCTAGTCGCGCAGACATCTATTAGGAGTCACAATGATGCCAGAATGTCATCTGTGTTGTGATTTTAATTCAGATGCAATTATTATGATGTGTGTGGTGTCATTCTGATGTGTGTGATGTCACTGCAGTTTCTATTGCACACCTGTATCAGGTTGGAGAAGGTTTGTCTAGATCACTGTTGTCCAAACTTGGCCACTTTAAGATGAGTGGACTTCAACTCCCAGAATTCCCCAGCCAGCCAAGTTTGGACAACACTGGTCTAGATGATAGTTTTGCAGTAATTTTCAGAGCAGCTACAGTTACAGCATCTTGGTAGTGACAACACTATGGGATGAACCCTAACCCTGACTTGGTAGACATTCTGATCTACCATTCTAGCAAAATCACAGCACTGTTTGGTTACAGTACTTTGTAGCTGAATTTAGGCAGACAGAGAGGTACTGTATTAAGCAAGAAGACCTATCTTGACTTCCCAGTCTTCTGAAAATAACTCCTT